TTAATTACACCCTGACATCTCTGTTGTACAGCATATGGCCTATACCACCCGCTTCACCCGACAAAAGCAAGTGCAGTTCTTCACTGCCTTTGGTGAACCCTTAGAATACCTTTATAAAACACAAAAGCCCTAGTTGCAAAACCCAGACCGCCCAAAAAACCCAGAAGCGCGTAGACAGGCCCTTGTAGAAAACCAATGAACCACCCTTCTAACAACCTAAGCCCTAAACCCTAAAGCTTACACCCTAAGATCGAAAAATCCTGCCAATCAAATGTCAACCCTATAAGTTCCAACAAAAAGCTCTCAAAACCCTAAACCCTATGCCCCTACACCCTAAGCCCTAAGCCCTAAACTCTTCAAAAGCAGCCTTCATCCCTGCCCCCTGGTAATATAGAAGCTTAGTTAATTGCCAGTACTGTTTTGGGTGGTTCCTTATTATAAGTATAGGATAATATTGGGCCCTAAACCCTAAACCATAATACTGGGCACTGCAACTGGGCAACAGCCCTGTGGACCACGGATAGGCATCTGGACTCTGTACTTCAGACTATGGTGTGGGACCCCTGCACTTGGAGATATTTCAGAATGTGGTTTAGGGTTCAGGGTTTAGAGTTTAGGGTTTAGGGTTTAGGATCCTCGCCAGAATGACAAACATGCTCCCTTTCGGAATTTTGGACACCAGAGGCCACCGAGAGCAAGATATGCTGTGCGCCCTCTCTGTGAGAGCACTCCGGTTTCTTTGCAGCATCTTCTCCATGATTGTGACGGGGCCACTTTCCGTCCAGACTGGGCTGGCGATGGGGGAGTCCTACTACTATGAATCCCCACGAGCTTCAGACAAAGATCCTGTTCTTGGGTCATGCAGTGTGTCTCGTGTGGAGCAAGACCAGGTGAGCACAATGGTAGAGTGTTTACGTTTGTGCACGTTTGGTTTCCTTAAGTATCGTGATCACTCTGTGTTTGCCCGGAGACTCCGTGGAGTAGTGGCGCTCACAGGTGATCTTTTCAGCCTTTTAGTCTCCCAGGCAACTGTGCGCAGTGCCTGTTTTCTATCACACATTGACACATTGACATTGACCCCAAAAAACCCTATGTTAATAATTATTAAGGCCCCTATACTAAACCCTTTTTGAACCCTTAGCGTACCCCTTCTTGTAACCCCTTTAAAGGAACCCCCTGGTAGGTCCCAGGGCAGGCACCCGGCAGTGGCGACACGATGGCGTCCATGGCGCGAGCCTAAGCCTGGCAGTGAAGGTTCCTGCAGTCAGGAAGCCAAAAAGGACATAAGCATAAACATTTTATAGGGATATCCCTACCTTATTGGGCTTCATTACAAGGGGGTTTATATGGGATATCCCTATCCTAATTGTTGCTTATGTGCTTTTTTGGGGCGGGCCCTATTTAGGGCTTTGGGGTGTTTGGTTTTGGGCTTTGGGGCTTATAGGGTTTAGGGTTTTAGGGTTTTAGGGCCCTGGGTTTTAGGGCTTTAGGGTTTAGGGCTTTGGGTTTAGGTTTTGGGGTTTGGGGATTTAGGGTGTAGTTTGCAAGGTTTTGGCCTTAGGGTTTAACTTGAAAGCTCGCGGTCTTTGTGTGCCGCCTCTCATCCCGACGTGAGTCGAAGCTAGATGTTTAGAGCCTGGAAGCATCTTTTTCAACGGCAGAGCTCCAAACCTACGAAGTCAATGAAGCCGCGAGCCGACATACCTAAACCCTAGAACCCCAAACTCTTAAACCCTGGAACCCCACACCCAGGTTTAGGGTTTCGGGTTAGGGAACCACTGAGCCACAGTTTTCCCTGGTTTCTCAGTTTCAGACCAAGTCTCGTCAACCGCCACGGAGTTTCAGGCTAGCCACCTCTTCGACCTCACGTCCATGCCAGCTCTTCCTTTGAATCCGTACACCAGCGCCCGGCACCCAAAGCTGAAGGGAAGAGATACTGTAGAGTGTAGGGCTTTCTAGATTCATGGTTTAGCTTTACGGTTTGGGCCTTTAAGGTTTTAGGGTGTAGGGCAAACCTTAAACCCCAAACCTGCGTAACGGTGCTGAAGGTCTAGGACGCTGCTTCATGAATTCTAGCGCATGAAAGCCCTGTCCTTGGGTCTCGAGCCCATAAAGGTCGTGACGGTTGTGGTGGCTGTTTTCTAGGCTTTCGGGGTAATTTAGGGCCTTAACCCTAAACCCTAAACCCTAAACCCTAAACCCTAAACCCTAAACCGTGGGTACAGTATAAGGAGCCCCGAAAACCTGAGTCTGATTGTTAAGGCCCCTGCATTAGGCATAACCCACCTAGTAGGTTTAAAGTTCGCTTAGGGTTTAGCGTGTGGGGTTCTGGAGTACCATACTTCAATGTCAAAGAACCATTATGAAATGAGAGCTTAATCTTTTTTCCCCTGGTTACTTCACAGCCCAGTTAGGCATAAGCTTTATGGTCCCTAATACACTTTGGTACGTCGAAACCCTGAACCTAAAACCCTAAACCTAAACCTTAAACCCTAAACCCTAAACGCTAATCCCTAAACCTACACCATAAACCTAAACCTTAAACCCTAAACCCTAAACCCTAATCCTTAAAACCTAAACCCTAAACCCTAAAGCCAGTAAACCCTAAACCCTAAAACCTAAACCCTAAACCCTAAGCCCTAACCCCTAAGCCCCAACCCTAAAACCCTGTTCGGGTTGTTAAGGCCCCTAATGTAGAGTCAGAAACTCCGGACCTGGGAACTTCGCACGACTAAGCCCCCTTTTTTCTGCACTTTGTGGTTTAGGGTTTAGTGGTTCTAGGGTGTGGGGATTAGGGTTTAGTTTAGCGGTTTTAGGGTTTGGGGATTAGGGTTTAGGGTTTAGTGGTTTTAGGGTTTGGGGATTAGGGTTTAGGGTTTAGTGGCTTTAGGGTTTGGCGATTAGGTTTCGTGTTTAGGCGATTTTAAGGTTTAGGGATTAGGGTTTAGGGTTTAGGGTTTAGTAATTTTAGGGTATATGGATTAGGGTTTAGGGCACCCTTACAGAGAACCCTTGTAGTACTCCAGCCTTACACAAGCCATCGTGGAATCATGAGCAATCTTTTATGGTCCCCTGAAAAACAAACCGCGACGAACCCAACCCTAAACCCAAAGCCCAAAGCCCTAAACCCTAATCCCCAACTCTAAACTCCAATCCCTTAAGCCTTGAATCCTAAAACCTAAATCCTAAATCCTCAGCCCTACCTGGACCCCTTTTCAGGACTCATACAAGGAAATCATAAGTGGGAACTTTAAGAAGGAAGGGTTTATGGGATCCAGGTAAGTGCCCTCAAAGGTGGTCCTGCGCGGGACCGAAGGCAGACGTCTGCTCAATCTGACGCGGACGCGTGGCGCTCGTCCGAGGGTGTAGGGTTTAGGCGTTTAGGGTTAAGGGTGTAGGCAAGCTGACTTTATCGTCATATTTGATTCTGCCTAGCTAGAGTTTTGTATGATGCCGTCTGGATTTAGGGGATGCTTAGGGTTAAGGTTGAGTGTTTAAGATTTGGGATTGACTGTAGGGTTTCGGGGTTCGGCATTTAGGTTTTTAAGGGTTTTGGCATGTAGAAAGAGCTGAGAAGAAGCTCAGACTTATCAAGTACTCGCGATATGTGACCGGCAGTAGGACATTTGTGTTCCTGGCTTTCTAGAAGCATCAAGTGGCCAGGTGCTAGTTAGTATCAGTCGCATAAGCAAGAACAACAGGAATAACCAGGATAGTAATCGTGTTGCCGAGCCCTAAACCCCAAACTCTACAAAGAAGTGCATCGAGACTGACAAAGCCCAAACCCCAAAGCCCTCACATTTCTAAACCTTCGACCCTTGCACCTCCGAAAACCCCTCAAGCCCCTAAACCCTTAAACCCCTAGGCCCTAGACCCCTAGACCCCTAGGCCCTAAACCTCTACACCCTAAACTAAACCCTCTACCCTGGCCCCAGAAGCCCTAAACCCCTAAGCCCGAAACCCCTACTTGGAGGATCATGGGACAGAGTAAGTATGGTTATAAGTACCTTAATTGGGGTTATAAGTAGTTGTAAGTATAGTTACCCTAATAATAACCTTAGTTACTAAGTCCCATGATCCTTTAAGTAGGCCCTGACAATGATTGAGGCTACCTCCCAGGGCTCGACGACAGAGCTACTTGCCGCTGGCCTCTCCTGGCAGCCGGAAGTTCCCTAAACCCTAAACCCTAAACCCTAGTTTCAGGGTTTAGGGCTGAGGAGGCAGGGTTTCGGCTGAGGATTGAGGGTTTAGGATTTAGGGCTGAGGATTTAGGGTTTAGGGCTTAGGGGTCGGAGGGAGTTGATGTTTTTTTGTTTTTTTTGTGCTGAGGGGTCTTTAGTTAATGTAGCCATACTACAGCAGGGCCCAAACCCCTGGTCTGAGTACTAACGCGGTTGGAAGAGAAAGCTGCGGACGAGAGGGAGAGAGAGAGAGATTGAGAGGGAGTTTTCCGAAATATGCTTGTTTACGTGAGGTTATAGGCGCACATGGTTAGCATGTATATATTTATTGGGGGAAATATGTAATATTAGTACTAAAGACATAACACAGAGAGAGAGATATATATTATATATATATATACACACATACATACATACAGACACACACATATATATGCACATACATACATACATACATACATACATACATACATACATACATACGTACATACATACATACATACATACATACATACATACATACATACATATTACAGACATACCTATATATATATATATATATATATACACACACATACACGTGCATGTGCCGGGACTTTGCACTCACTTTCGGATATGCATTGTGGGCACAGGGTGTGGCTTCATGATTTGAGTTGTTGGTTCGTTCGGAGTAGGGTTTAGGGCTTCAAAAGAAGCTTTGGGTTTAGGGTTTAGGGTTCGGGTTCAGGGGGTTCGGGTTCAGGGTTTAGGGTTCAGAGCTTTAGGGTCCTAGGGTTTAGGAGCTATAAGGGTTGGATTAGAAGCACAAATGTTGCTAAGGCATCCGTCCCGGATGCTCCTGCCCGTGCCCTTCCCGCAGGCAGGTGGGTTTTGAATCCCTAAACCCTTTATTAGGGTTTAGGGTTTAGGGTTTACGGAGGGAGTTACGGAAAAGGGGGCTTTCGGAAGAGAACTTTGCTTCTGTAGCTGGTGTTTCCCAGCCGTAGAGCAGACAGCCCAAGCCGGACTAGGCCCTAAACCCTAAACCCTACACCCTAGGAACTCTCAGCTCGAAGGCCTTCCGATAACCTACGGTGTGTCTGCCGGACATATGTTTAGGGTTTAGGGTTTAGGGGACAAGCCGGCGTGGAGCACTTCGCAAGGATTCACAAAGTTGGACCTCTGTGCGTTGACTTCTTACAGGTTCCAACTGTTGTTGTCTTCAGATTCGTTTTGGGGGATAAATAAAGGAATGTAGCCTTAAGTCTGCACATCAATGCCAAACCAAATCCTCGGAGACATTACGGACATTAGTGAAGTTGTCGGATTGTCTCGAGTCTTGAACATGCGTAGGGCTTGCGTGGATGCTCCTAAATTACGAATGCCATATGATCACTAGGGTTTTCGTTTTCATCTTGGGTCTAAGGCCAAGGGGCTTATAGATGGTGTAGAGTTTGTGACGGTGGCGAAGGACGGTAGGACGCAAGCTGTGACGATTTTCTGCACAGGGTAACGGGTAACGGGCAGATGCGTGCCAGAACCCAAAAAGGTTGAGCGTCAGTTTAGAGCTGCAGGACTTGCAAATAGCGCCCAGATGCACGCTACGGATACCTTTGTCGGGTTCAGACTGCCGTCAAGCCCAGCAGCTAAGTGCTCCTGATAGCCGCAGGTCTTTGCACCTGATGTTTCTAAAGACGGCGTGATTGCCTGCGACTCAGACCTCAGACATTTCCTTATGTGTTCTCTTCGCTGTCTCTTGTGCTTTGGGCAAGTCCTGCAATTTGGTGCTGAAGGAGCCCTTAACCCTCAACCCCAAACCCTTCGAGCCCGACAGCCCTGTATAATACAGGGGCCGAAATAATTACCTATACTATTGTGGGGGTTCCTCTTTATAACTATAGCATAAAGGGCCCCAAAACCCTATTCTAAGTATTAATTCCGTTACATTACCTAAACCGCAAACCCTACCTATAGCCTTGGTTGTAGTTCCTTTCTTTGCTTGACCGGATGTATATGTTGAGACTTTTGCGATGGAGCGTTTGGTTTCGAGATCCAAGCAAAGATTGTATCTCTAAGGCTCTAAGAACTCATCTTATAAGGCTTTTTGGGCCTAAGGGGCGGCTCTCAGAACTCAACTTACATAGAAGGCTTTTGGGCCCAAAGGCCATACTACATAAGGTGCTTGGGCTACTTTGAGCCTTAGGGCAGCCCTCTTGGGTTTTAGGCAGGGCTCCGGATGGGGTTTGGGGTTCAGGGCTCAGGATTTAGGGTTTAGGGCTCAGCACTCTGAGGCCACGATGGGATTTAGGTTTTTCAGGCAAAATCCGACGAATCTCAAGCCGAAGAACCTAAACCCTAAACCTAAACCCTAAACCCTAAACCCTAAACCCAAAACCCTGAACCCTAAACCCTAAACCCTAAAACCTAAACCTTAACCGCAACAGCGGGAAACCTTCTCAGTGTAAAGGTACCGCTTGCGGTCCTGTCGTTCATGTCTAGCTTGACCCGGCTGTACGTAATGGAGTATGACCGAAATCCCAGTTCTCATTATTTAGGCCCTTGGGCGGCAAATTTAGGGTTTAGGGTTTAGGTTTAGGATTTAAGCAAAGCCCAGATGAGGGGCAGTTCGCGTAGCATCCATCCTCTTAAACGTAGCCGTCAAGTTTATCTCCTTTCTAACAGCAGTGATCCTAGTACGCCCGTGTCAATTCATGCAAGAGCCTCCTGAAACCCTAAACCTCAAACCCTGAACCCTAAACCCTAAACCCTGAACCATAAACCCTAAACCCTACACCCTAAGCCCTAAGCCCTAAGCCCTAAACCCTAAACCCTAAACACGAGGCCCTGAACCCTAGACCAACAGGGTTCGGAGCGCGCGGAGGGTGAGGAAGTTGAGGCACGGTGCCTTCTCAAGCTGTCACAAGATTGGAGTTTAGGGTTTATGGTTTAGGGTTTATAGGGTTTCATGCGTGGTTAAGTCTTTAGTAATTGAGGGTTCAGGGTACCGTAGCTCAGGACTTCCGTTTATAGCTTCTAGTTCGGGTTGGAGCTTCAGTTCTTTCTGCAGGAATTCGTGAGACATTACCTCAGGGTTCGATACCCTCGACCCAAGTTTGCGACGCAAAGACCCAAATTCCTACTGGTAGCTCCTGCGCCCGCAATCCCTGCAAGCACATCTCGTCGGTAAAATTCCCCTTCCCGGGTTGAACCCTATAAATCCTAAACCTTAAGCCAGGAACGCCGAACCCTAAACTTCAAAACCTTTATCTAAACCCCTAGACCCTCAAACACTTAAATCCCTGAAGCCTTAAACCCTTAAACCCATAAAGCCTTAAACTCCTAAACCCCGAAGCCCTCAAACCCCTAAACCACTTAACCCTTAAACCCCTAAACCCGTAAACCCCTAAACCCCTGAGCCCTTAAACGCTTAAGCCTCTAAGTCCTTAAACCCTCAAACCCCAAACCCTTCACCCCCTGAACCCTTAAATCTTTAAACCCCTAAACTCCTGGACCCTGAGACCCTTAAACCCCTAAGCCCTTAACCCGCTAAACCCTGGAACACAGCCCTAAACCCCTAAACCCTTAAACCCTTGAACCCCTAAACCCCTTAACCCTTAAGCCCCTTAAACCCCTAAACACTTAAACCGTTAAACCCTTAAGCCTCTAAACCACTAAACCCTTAAGCCCTTAAAACCGCTAAGCCCTTAAGCCCTGAGACCCTAAACCCTTGAACCCCTAAACCCTTACACCCTTTAACCCTAAACCCCTCAAGCCCCGAAGCCTAAACCCCTAAACCCCTAAACCCTAAACCAAAAGCCCCTAAGTCTTTAAGCTCTTAAGCCCCTAAGCCCTTAAACCCTTAAACCCCCAAACCCCTAAACCCTGAAACCCTTAAACCTGTAAACCCTTAAGCCCAGAAACCCCTACGCCCTTAAACCCTAAAACCCCTAAACCCCCAAACCCTTAAACCCTTGAAGCCCTTAAACCCCTAAACCCTCTAACCCTTCAGCCCTAAACCCCTAAACCCCTGAACCCCTAAACCCTAAACCTTAAACCCCTAAAGCCCGGAACCCCTAAACCCCTAATCATTATAAGCCCCTAAACCCTTTAACCCTAAACCCTTAAACCCTTAAACCCCTGGACCCTTAAACCCTAAGCCCTTCAACCCTAAACCCTTAAACCCTAAACCCTTAAACCCTTACCCTAAACCTTTAAACCCCTAAACCCTTAAACCCCTAAACCCCTAAGCCCTTAAACCCCTAAGCCCTTAAACCCATAAACCCCTGAAGCCCTAAAGTTTAGGAAATCGGGCTTCGGGTCCCAATTTCCTCTCGCTGCAGCGCGCCACCTCGCTGACGCAGCTTCACGCTGCGGCCGGTGCCGGGCGCTGCCAGGTTGGGTTTAGGGGTTTAGGGTGTAGGGGGTGTAGGGTTTAGGGGTTCCTTAAAGGGATCTATAAGGGTTTCTGTAGGGTTTCTATAAGGGTGCTACAAGGTTTCTATTCTGGGTAATGAAGTAGTTCTCTAAATTAGGGTTCCAGGTGGGGTTTGGGAGCGTGTAAGGCTTACAGGATCAGTGCCTGTTTTGAACGAGATAACTTTAGCTTTATTCTAACTAGGTATAAGCCTACACAAACTACTGTACATGCGCCTACTTTGTACCTGGCCATGAACCGTCAAGTCATCGTTTTGTTGCAGCATCCGAAGCCATACCATTCAGATGGTGATGATGATGATGCCGCCAGCACCGCCATCACCGCCACTGCCAATGACGGAGCTAGGAAGCCAAGGTAGGGAGGGACATAGATTTGGCTATGGAGGTCTTCGAGTTTGCTGAATACAGATGAGGCCCGAAGACAAGACTGAAACCTCAAGCCCAAAGACAGGAAACCCTAAACCCTAAACCCTAAACCCTCTGAACCTTGCACAAGCGCACTTGTGGCCAGCCTTACCGTGCCCCCTCAACGGAACCCTAAGGCTGAGACCCCCGAAACAAGGTAGGTCCCTTTTTCGCAGGCTTTGCGCTGCATGGCAACTGCCTTAAGACAACATCAGCGTTCGGCCGGCAGCCCAGAACGGATTATTCGCAAGGGTTCAGGGTTCTGGAGTGTGGGGTGTGCAGGGTCGAAAATATCCGGGTTTGGAATGCTTGGAGGTTTCATGTTTGGGGTTTAGGGTTTAGGGATTGCGTGTAGCGTTCAGCACTTGAAGGGTCATGACGATGTCTGTGCTGATGGTCACGAATGAGAGAATGGTGATGCAGCTTCCCCGTGCGGCAGTGCTGCTGTAGCATTGGTAGCAGTTTCGATCGTCGGCCACGCATGACTCGAAGTTCTCTCATAATAAGTGCACCACAAGTGCAGTAGTGAGAATCACATTGTAGTGGCACCAGCTGGATCCGCAAGTTGTGTTTGGCCCACTTGCCCTACTTAGTTCTTAGTTTTAGCTGTCCGCAAGAAATCTTAATGTGGCTCCACTTGAACCAACTATCTTAACCTACCAAAACCTACTTTTTTGTAGGGTCCCTATAAATTCCATATTAGGGTTTATACTAAGAACCTACAAAAAAAGTAGGGTTTGGTAGTTTAAGGTACGTCACCGGGCTCGGGTCACCAGCCCTAAACCCTAAACCCTAAACCTTAAACCCTAAACCCTAAACCGTGCCCCACGACCCTCATTGACACTTGCCCAGCTTCCCCCAGACTGAGGGCAACCTCAAGTCCTAAGCCAAACTTTTAGGGGTTTAGGGTTTAGGATTTAGGGTTTAGGGAACAACACCTCAATGCTTTGTTAGGGTTTAAATGTAAGGGTTTAGGGAGCCTTGAACCATCCTTGCTGCTAAACCATGAGATCCTTAACCCCTACCCTGGCCTGTGCCCGCCGTCCCTCTCCTCTCTGCCCCCTCCCCGGACATCCCTCTGAATGTTTGGGGTTTAGGCTTCTAAACTTTCAGGCAGGCTGGCTGTGTCTAGGCACGGTTTTGTCCAGAGTTTGGCGGTTTTGTTCAGGGGGTCGGGCCGAATATACCAATATTGCTATGATTATTCTTCAGGGCTCCTGATCATTATTATATACCCCAAAGCCCAATTCTTACTCGCTGCGGCCGCTAAGTTTTTTTGCTTCCCTAAGGTTCCTTATATTATACTTATATACCCCAAAACCCTATTCAAATTATTAAGGCCCCCTGCATTAGGCTTTCGGGGTTTGGGTTGCAAGACTGTGCGGCATCGAGCGTGTTCATCGACCCGCTACAGGTTGCACTTGCACAGTGTGTACACGGTTCAGGGTTTTGGGTGCGAAGACTGGCATTTTGAGTCTTAAAAACTTTTATCTGATTACACGTACAAATATAATCTTAATGTCTTCGAACAAGCTGTGCCAGTAGTTCTGTGTCTAAACCCCCAACATTCAAAGGGTTTAGGGGACCCCAACCCCTAAACAGTAAAACAACTTAGGGTTTGGGGTTTAAGGGACCCTCACCTCCACACGCTACGAGGCGAAGGGTTCATATTCTGCGCTCGAGGCTTGGGCTGCAGCTGTCCGCACACGCTACGACGTGGAGGTCCGTGAATAATGTAAAGGCCTGAATAACTGCTCGTACAATTTATGGGGTTGCTTATTACACCGTGTAGGGTTTAGGGTTTAGAAATCCTCTATGAGTTTTCTTTCCCGAAACCCTATTCTAATTATCAGGACGTCGCACAGCAATGCCGAGTGCCCTCAATCCTAAAGCGCCCCACTCTACGCTCTGGCTAGTAGTCTTAGCAGTGGAGTAGGTAACGTGTTATCGTTTGCGGGTATTTTAAGCCTATATAGCCCCAAACGTTAACCATCACTTCCTTCAGGATACCAACTAAGTAAATCACAAGATTGTTATCTGCCCATCGCCTTCCATGTTGCATGGGAACTGTGGTGCAGTTCTTCGAATGCCTAGCCACTCGTGTGCACGGGGAATGGATCCGTGTTTCCGTGGATCGTCTGCCTGCCAGTTAAGTTCAGGTCATGGTCCTGTAATGTAGAAGCCTTGATAATTACCAATATTATTCTGGGGTTCCTTATTATAATTATACTATAAAGGACCCCCAAACCCTATTCTAATTATTAAGGCACCTACATTATTGCAAACCCTGCAGCCTAAATCTGAACCACAACTGCAAGTGGTGAACCGATAAACACCGTAAGCCGCAAACAGTAGGGTTTAGAGTTTGGGGGTTTAGGGTTTAGGGTTCAACCACCAAATCCAAGAACCCTAGGAGTAAACCCTGAACCCCCAAACCGCAAACTGCTCAATACCCTGAATCCGAAGGTTTACTCTTGGACGACAGTGGCGTTTGAGAGATTGAGGAACCCATAATCCAGACTCAAGCTAAGAAATTCCGTTTAGTTGACAAAAGCAAAACCACTTTTGGAACCTTTATTTGTTACACCGGCCAAAGACTCTTATGACAACCTTATGAAATCCAGAGGATCCTAACAGGCCTTCGTATATTAACCCTATGAGACCACAAAACAAATGGAATAGCACCCTATGAACCCGTTGGAAGCCTTTTAAAAACATTGGTCAGGCAGATGAGTTTCGAGATGTTCTGGAGGTTGTGACAGACCACCTGGAAAGCTCTGCAGCTGTGGCCTCAGCTACGCTTGGGGTTTACGTGCTGGCAGGGCTCAACTTCACACGTCTGTGGCTTCTGACACTTTCCCATGGGATGCATAAACTTGCTCGTCCTATTGTTGATTATACAACTCTTGCATTACCTTGGACCCTTTAGCTATGGGAATTACGCATTTTTCCTTATTGTGGGTCATGCAGGATTTATATCATCAACCGTATCAACTGGGTAGCCAGCTAAACCATTCGGGTGGTTTAGGGCTTTTGAATTAGGATCAGGCTCCCACAGGGATGCCGTGCGCTGGTAACTGCCCTTGTTGAACCCTCAACCTTAAACTAGAGGATTTGAGAGTTGTTGTGTGTAGTGCGCATCGATTCTGTAGACGCTGGACGTCGCAGACGATGCGAACCCTAAACCCTAAACCCTAAACCCTAAGCCCTGAATTAGGCATCCCGAGTCTTAGCCAGCATTGTTTGGAAAGGGGATAGGTTGCGGATTTGGGTGGGGGGTTCAGTACTTAGGATGAGGGGTTACTTGAAGGATCATGGGACTTAGTAACTAAGGTTATTATTAGGATAACTATACTTATATAATTATAACTACTTCTAACCCCAATTAAGGTACTTATAACCATACCTATAGTTTCCATTGTAGTTCCTTTTTGCGTTATAGGGCCCCAAATGTAAAGCTGGTTTAACACAAAAAAAAAGGAACTACAATGGACACGATAGGTACTTAACCCTAAACCCTAAACCCTAAACCCCTAAACCCTAAACCCTAAACCCCAAACCCCGAAACCCTAAACCCTAAACGATAGGTACTTACTAAGTCCCATGAGCCCCCA